CAATTATTTCCACCTCACCTTCGTCATTGGTATATTCATTTTTTTTTTTTTTGGAACTGAGGTATGTTCATTTCTATTGCCAGTAAACAACCCAACATCAATTATAAACCAAAAAAAACTTATCATTATAATCCAAAAACCATTTCTGAAAAGTTTCTTGGTCTACGACTCTACGGTACTGTCTTAAAAACTTCTATTTTTCCATGTTTAAGGTTTACCTCTAGTCTTGAAAACAAACAAAAAAAGGTTTAATTAGTATTTGTCTCTTTATAAGGAAGTTATAATTAAGGGTTGTACCAAGTATCTCGAATTTCTTTTTCAAAAAAAAAAAAGTATCTCGAATTTTACGTCAAAACATCTAAAGAGTACTAACTCATTCTGTATAACCGAAATTGGGCCATTGATGAAAATGAGTTCGTACTTTTTTTGTATGTATATAAAATAACAGTTCATACGAATTAGTATACGCATGTTATTTGAAAGCAAGTTAAATAACTAATAACAATTATTAACATGTTTAGCAAACAAAAAAAAAGTTAAATAACTATTCCCTATTTTAAAATGTTATGTAAACAATAAACGGAAACTAGCACATGCATGTATATTACTATAACACATAAATTGCTAAATTTAAGTTGGATTAGTTAACATTTTCTAATTAGGTCGAATATAAATAGATTAGAGTATCCAACGGTGGTGGCCCCTGTTTAGTGCCTCTCCGATTAATCAYATCCTTGCTTCTCTTCTAGACGACTCCAAGAGCACTTGAACCTTAATTATATATATCTTATTCAATATATATTTAATTTATGGAAAAGGAAAAAAAAGATCAACAAGAACGCCAAGACCAAATTTTTAAAACTATAGCATATAGCTAATGGATCAATAAAATATAAACAATTACTTCCAAATTTCTTTTCACGGTATATTAATTTGACTCTAGATTCAAAGAAATTGTTGTTACTTAAAATCAAAAGTATCCTAGCATGCTTGCACAACAACTATATATAGAGAATAACTTTTAATATTCAGGAGAATTTTTT